GGCTCTTAAGGCCCATTTCCACTCCAGAAAAATGTCCACAGACAGAAAATTTTCCGAAAATATCTTTGTTAAGAGTTGAAAATTTTCAACTTCAAAATTTTTTTTCGGACGGTAAATTTGTGTTTGACAATCACATTTTACAAATTTTCGCGGAAAACTTTCGTGAGTGGAAATGGGCCTTTACATAGAAATATTTAGAAATGACAAAGCTATCGAATATAATAAAGTTAGATCAGCGGTTTAGATTCGCTCCTGTAGAAACACTGAACCAAGTCAACCAACAAGAGATGACGTTATTTCACCGCTATAGTGAGAACAGTCTAGACCTGGGCCGGTTGTATAAAAAAGTGATTAAAGTTAACTATAGTAAGTGGAAACGTCATCCAATAAGAAGCGCGCGTATTTGAGAGTTAATCACTATTTAACTACAAAATAGTGATTAAAAATTAAAGTGATTAAGAGTTTTATACCACCGGCCCCTGAATAATAAGGCCTGATTCCACGAACGCTTTTTGTCAGCGAAATGCGAAATATTTCGCCTGTTTCTTTTGAATTGTGAGCAATCAAGTAGAAATAATTTATTCGAGTGGTCGCAATTCAAAAGAAACAGGCGAAATATTTCTCATTTCGCTGACAAAAAGCGCTCGTGGAATCAGAGCTATACAGATGTTGAACTAAATAGAACGACTGGACCAGAAAGCGATGGTCCTTACTACACCACCAACGAGAATAGTTCAGAACTGATCGACTTATCCAGTATAAATAAAGTTAGTTAATGCGTACCTTTGTCATTTGTTTCGACACAAATTTACACAGCTCTTTGCCTGCAATTACTTGCGCTTTCTCGCCAAGCAGACGTCCTAACATAGATCGTAATATAAAGGACACACATTTCCTCGAATACACAGCATCAACATGGTTTGGAGTTGCTTTCGAGCTTGACAACAAGTCAAGGATTTGTCCTAAGATGTAACCAACGTTTTTCTCAACCCAAGTTCCGCCCATCTCGTTGAACAGAACAACGTAAGCCTGAAAAATAGAAATATTTTTAGAGCTCCATCGCTGTGCCGGTGTGACACAATCTTGGCATTTTCTTGAAATAGTGCCTCAAATTTGAAATTTGGGTGTTTAGAAATTGTGCTGTATTGTTGCCAGTTAAATGAAAATTATGGCAAAAGAGAGGAAAGACTTAACATCCAACAGTGTGCGATAAATGGAGGTACGCCAATATTACGGTCTGGTACTTCTTTGTTTCCAACCAAGTACCACCTAGTTACGCAAAACTCTTGCTATTCTTAACGTACTTGCATTTTGCTGGTACCATAGGACCTTACCACGCCCAAGGTACTCAAAACCATATACGTAACGGTATATATTGGTACGCCAGACATGTCTTGGCATGCAACATGACCGGACTGATGTGTAAGGAATGTTGGAGCTAATTCTAGTGTTTGTGCGTAATTGTCATACTCCTCGTTCTAACTTGTAGTTTCAGGTTACTGATACAACTGTATTTTCAATGAAGATCCATACAAAGAGTTTTGAAAAAAATTCCCAGTGCTACATTACCTGAGTAACCCCAACGCGAACTTCTTGGGGCATGGTCGTCTTCAGCAGTTCACCACCACCTCCCTTTAGGAAACCAATCCCCCCGCGCAAGAAACCTGATGACATCAAATCAAACATCTCGTTCATACTAATCTTTTTGGTCTTGCTGTTGGAAGGGGGGGTTGAACCATCTGGAGGACGCTGAGTGGCAGCCATCAGTTTGCCAAGGAGACTAGAGACACAGACTCTGACGTCGTAGTTAGAGCCCTCCAAGGATTTGAGGCAGACGGAGAGAAGGGTCTCCAGTTCGGTGGTGTAAGTGAAGGTTGCATGTTTTATCAGTTCTTTGGTGCACTAAAATAAACAGATTCCAAAAGACACCACAGTATATTACATTTTTTCTTAAAATAGTGTTAAATGATTACACTTAAAAGTAACAATTAATGCTTCTTGTATTAAATAAGGTGAGCAACAAAAATGTATTTCTCAAAAATTTATATACCGTACATGTATGGTTTTAAAAGCATTGCTCTTGTATTAGGCCTGTTTTATATGTCAAATTTTGGTTGTGTTCAATGCAATTGAAACAATAGGTAATGAGATGATAAACCTCATTAAGCTTCATTATCTATTGTTTAAATTGCATTCGATGCAACCAAAATTTGATGTTTAAAACAGGCCTTAGTGGTATTTAGTTGGTACTGTACATTAATTGCATATCAAACAAAATTCCCTATTTGTACCGAACATTAAATGATTATATTAGATAACCATGGAATAACCCCAAGAAAAGTAGACTTGTAGTGAAGTACAGACCTCTGCTGCAGCACACCGCACTGCCATTGAACGATCAATAAGAGCAGTCCTGATTGATTTGAAAATGTCCTTATGGCATGATGATGCTGCTGAGCCAAGTCCACAAAGGATTCTTTGACAGCATAGAAGAATTTCACAACGTCCTTGAGACTAAAAAATTGAAGAAGTTGCATCAGATTACTTTCAAAAATTAGTTATATCAAGTGGAATTGATTGATAAAATCCTAATCCTTAACCACAAACCTACCTCTGAGTTCTTCATTGCTTTTATAAGTATCTGAACAGTCTCCGGAGCTGAGCCACCAACCTTACAAAATTAAAATTAAGCATTGGCTAAAATAGCCTGAAATATCATCCATATCACCATTGTGATGAAGAAATGAAGGCAGAATTGATAGCATTTTCTCAAAGCATACAATATTTTTTATCCAGTGGTCCTGTGGCCGGGGGGATTGTCAATGTTGTCGGAAATTGTC